TTCTTTCTTTCTTTCTTTTCTTTCTTTCCTTCCTTCCTTCCTTCCTTCTTTCCTTCCTTCCTTCCTTCCTTCCTTCCTTCCTTCCTTCCTTCCTCTCTCCCTCTCCCTCTTTCTTTCTTTCTTTCTTTCTTTCTTTCTTTCTTTCTTTCTTCTTTCTTTTATTTTGTGAAATAAACATTTTTTTAAATTCGTTTCAGCTGTACAACACAGTGCAATAGTTATACTTTTTATCCGAGTGACAACCTCCCTCCCCCAATCCTCCACCTCACTCCCCCATATCATACATATCTATTAGAATTCCCTTGACTCCACTCCCACACTATACTCCAAGTTCCATGACTATACATACATACATATATATATATATATATATATATGTATATATATTCACTTATAGTTGACATACAATATTACACAACATCAGCTTCAGGTGTACAGTGCAGTGATCAAGCCTCTACCTCATCCATGATGCTGTCTCCCTAACAAGATGTGACCATCTGACACCCTACAAAATATTTACAACATTATTTATATTCCCCAAACTGTCTTTCAGTATTGTGGTTACTTATTTATACTGTCTAACCCCTTCCCCTTCTCCCTCATCCCCACCCCCCTCCCAACTAGCAACCATCAGTTTTTGCTCTATATCTCTGAGACTATTTCTGTTTACTTTGCTCGTTCATTCAGTTTTGTAGATTCCACATATAAGTGAGATCATATGGTATTTGTCTTTCTCCGACTGACTTATTTCATTTAACATAATAGTCTCTAGGTCCGTCCATATCGTTGCAAATGGCACGATTTCATTCTTCTTTATAGCTGAGTAATACTACATTGTATAAATGTAACATAGTTTCTTAATCTAGTCTTCTACTGATGGGCATTTCAGTTGTTTCCAAGTCTTGGCTATTGTAAATAGCGCTGCAATAAACATAGGGGTGCATATATTTTTTCGAATTAGCGTCTTGGGTTTCTCTGAATAGATACCCAAGAGTGGAATTGCTGGGTCATATGGTAGTTCCATTTCCAGTTTTTTGAGATACCTCCATACTGATTTCCATAATGGCTGCACCAATCTTGGGTTCCTTTCTTTTACTTCCTGTTAATTTTGAGTTTCTTTGAGCAGTCTAGCAATGCTTCTTCATCCTGGCTGCATCAGTTTTTTCCTGTAGCAGGACTTGAACCCAGTTTGCAGTTTTTCTAATACTTGTGGAATGACCATGAACATTCATCCCCTTCCTCAGGGATGTGAGTCTCAAACTTTGGGACCCTCCTCCAAGCTCAGAGACTTTAGTACCAATGTATGCCCCTTCTTCAGAGATCAATTCCATGGATCGCTCCTCTAAGCTTCTAAGTTTAAAAAATTCTAGCCTTTTCCCTTGTTCCCCCAGTTTTAGGATGGGTGGCTGCTTTCTGTAGTTGCCACCTGCATTCCTTAGGTTTTTTTCTTGCCTTTTCAATTACCTAGTTACCAACTTTATACTTGGTTAACATTACTTTATATTACATTTTTTCTGTTCCCCTAATTAGTGGACTTCTATCTCCTGATTAGACCCTGAATGATACTGGGAGGAATCAGGAAAAAACTTAGTGGAAAAATAATATTTCAGTTTGACTTGAAGGAAGAGTGGAATTTCAGTAAGTGAAAATCAGGAAATTTCAAATAGAAAGAATATCAGCATGAGTAAAAGTAGCAAAAATGGGAGGGATAGTATATTTTTAGAAAACATTTTATGTTCTACTTTTTTTTTTTTTCTTGAGCACAAAGTACATGTTACAAAAAAAGATTAGAGAGAGAGGTTGATGCAGGCAGTAATTTGGGATACCTTGAACTCTAGGCTGAGAAATTTGAACTTAAATGGTAACAATTAAATGATTTTTTTAAAGTATAATAATGACCTGATTAGAATTCTCCTCTAGAAATGTTTGGATGATAAATTCATGACAGATTATTAAGAAAAGTTAGGAGTGTACGTGGTAAAATCTTAATGTTAGAGGTTATGCTGAGCATCACTGTTTTCCCACAAAACATTCATTCAGAAAATACTGGGGACCTATGTGTTGGGAATCCAACAATGAAATGAAAAGAGTTTCTATTCTCAAGTCTAGTGGAGACAAAAGATATATACTCAGATAATTAGAGAACAAAGTAAATAGGTATAGAAATGCATAGAGAATTATGGCATATAATATAGAGCACAAAATATGACCTAGAAGGGTCAAGAAAGACTAATTTGTGTTTTAAACGATGACTAGGATTTGGCCATGCATAAAGGAGGGTATGAGCCACGCTTAAAGAACAATTCTGAGAACAGGCAGAGGGAGAAACGGCATTGTTTTGATACAGATTAATGGGAAATTATATGATCTTTTCAAGAACAGACTTATTTTTCCCTTCTTTGTGTGGTTTGTCTGCTAATGGATGAAATTAAATTGGGAAGGAGCCTAAGCTGTTGCAACAATACATGTAAATTGAGAAGTGGTCTTAGCTGTTGCAACAGTGCATATATTGCATATGACTACATCTTGGTTTCTAAAGTCCTATGGTGTTTATAGAGAATATATCAAATGAATGGATTTTAGCTATCCCACTTAAATTCAGTCTTTGGTAAGTTTCTTTTCACTAATATGTGTATGGGAAGGATGTGTGTGTGCGTGCATGCGCACATGCGTGCATTTATAGAGAGGGGAAAGGAACAGAAAAAGAGAGAGATGTATATATAGAGAGATGTATATATCACTTGCTGTGATAGAAACCCAAAAAAGAAATATCAAGGTAGCTACTGCATTCATGTATAATGCTTTTCCCTAAGAGTTAGGAATACTGTACTAGAGAGCTTTTAAACTATTAATTTGTAAACCAAAAAATGTTTACTTCAAAATTATAAGTTGATGAGAGGACAGAAGAATCAAATGAAACAAAAGGAAGAGAGAAACACAGGTAAAGAAACCAAAGAGAGAATATTGTGATTTTTGTCAGCTTTTTCAAGCTTCTTTAATTGATCCCAAGGTCCTAAATTACATGACATAAAAGGAGACTATCTATCTATAAGAGAACCAACCCTATAGAGCTCCTGTTCTCCAGATGTACAATATAGTGGTTAGAAAATATCCGGATTTGATAATGACTGAATCTGCAGTTGGCTCCAGTCTACCTTTAATCAAAGTGTATGTTGTGGGTCTTTAAAAAATTGTTTTTATGTTTTTGGTGTTTAGGCTAGACAGCAGCAAGCAGAATTGGCTCAGCAGGAATGGCTTCAAATGCAGCAAGCTGCCCAACAAGCGCAGCTTGCTGCTGCCTCAGCCAGTGCGTCTAACCAGGCAGGATCTTCTCAGGATGAAGAAGATGATGATGATATCTGAAATTCACCAGCTGAGGTTCTATTTCCTCTTTAAATGTGTTTAACTCTGCACAAGAAAACAGTGAAAGAAATGCTTATCTGTAATTTTGTATGCATCTTGGTGGACTTGCCGTTGGTATTCTAGGAATGTTTGCTATTAAGTTACATCTATTGTGTGCTATTCATGTAAAAACTGTCTCTTTGAACTATTGAAAATTTAAGGTTCAGTATAATATCAATTTTGAATTTTTAATGGTGTTTATGATATTTTAGATAGTGGTGAGTCATTTATTTGATCAATAAACAGTGTTACAGAAAACTCAAGTTTATAAAAGTGCAGTGAAATTTATACAGAAATTCTTAATCTGCATTTGCGTTTCCTCTTCCCTTTTAACTAAACTAAAAATTGGGAATTTTAAATTATCTGGGGGTGCTGTGTTATGCAATAGACATTAGATCAGGTTGGTGAAAAAGTTCAGTTCTGTAGTATCTGATTTTTTTGTCTTTTAAAATGAGTATATATACAGGACTAGGATATAGGTATATATATATATGTTTGTGTGTGTATACATATGTATATATATATATATATATGCTCAGATAAATGTACTTGTTTAAAAAGATTTCATAACAAGACATTAAAAAACTACAATAGGAAAGAGTATGTTCAATAGTAGTTGTATAAATTTGATGGGTTATGTTTTTGATTTTGTTTTTGTTTTATGTAGAGGTAAAAACTACTGTTTTATTATGGCATAATTCATCTTGAGCTACACTATTACATTTCAAAGACTGCCCGGTTTTGAAGACTGTCATGATTCTTGCTATTTCACTCCAGTAATTTTTAATAGTATTGCTTGCTTAGCCCATCCATGTTTATTGGAACTTGTGAAACAATTGCTTAGGTTCGATTGGTTTAACTGAGGTTCATGAATAGTCAAACCTTTGCTGAGGAAAAGAAATGAAAGTTAATGAGCATGCTTACTATAAAAGAGGGATTTTTTTGTAATTTAACTTATAGTTTACTTACTGTTTGTTTTTAGCATTACTTTTACATTTTCTTGACTAGATGGCCTAGAGTGTCCAATGCTTCCTTTTGAGATGGCATTATTGTCTCCTTTATCATAATTGAGTGATAGCTTTAAAAAATGATTTGTTTTGTTTTAAAAAGCATGTCATAACTGATCAGCCCTATATGAAACATAAAAAAGTAGTTTCAACCTGCTCGTTAAAAGGGAGGAGCTTTAATTTGTTTCTAATAAATAAAGTATGACAGCGATTTTTATAGGAAGCCAGTGTGTTGAAGAAATGGCATCTTGTTTGTATTTTGGAAACAAAATGGAAAAGCCACTTAAGATAGTATGAAGTAATCTAAATTCCCATGTCATTTGCCAAATCATTTAATATTCTATATTTACCAAGCCCAAGGATAGATTGCGGCTGCCAGGGTTCTAATTTTAATTGGAGAGCTAAGGAAGTAAAGTTTACAAGTGTTAGATTTCTTAATGGTCATATTCTGCAGTTTCAGAAAAAGTGAAATATTGTCATAAATTTATTAAATACACTTCCCCCATGCCACAAAAAGATTAATCTTGCTGAATGTTTTAAGTTGAAGTTGATATTGTATCTATGAAATGCTTTGGACAAGATAGAAGGGATTGTTTGTTTTTTTTAAAGTTTAAGTACCAAAGGTAGTCTAGTCTAAGAAACAATAAGTTAATAAGTGTTGGCTTTTCTAATTTGTACTGTAACATCCTTATACTTGCTATTTTAAGTATATCTGTTTCTTAAGTAAACAACTTAGATATTTTTCCACACCTTTTTTTTTTCTGATGCAGAGTTCAGGTTAATTAATATTTTACTGCATCTGATAATGTATTATACGTGTGAAGCCTAGTGACTTTGCATTTTGACATTCTTGTGATTTCATATGCTGTATTCTTCAAGCAATAAAATTCTGATGTGTTTTATAAATTGTTTTTATATTTAATGATCTATACAGATTAACGGCAGGAGATTTCTGTTATTAACATTTTTACTATTTCAAGAATCTTAGGCCCAAGACATTTTAATCATTTGTTATGTAGTACCCGACTTTCTCCTTTGTTTACTGTTATTTTAGAAAATGTGGTTTTACTTGTATTTTTTGTAATTTACACTCCTAGAGTCCAGGTGTAACAAAGCTAATTAAGCAATGTTTTACTTTTAGCTTTTTTATTAGCACTTAAAAGTCACTATTATGTCTATTGTTGATATTTTTTAAATCTTTTGGAAAGAGAAATCTTTAGGGTTCTTGAGAAATAAAGTTATCGTTTAGTATTTTCCCCACTTCCTTGAATATATATCTGTCTTTTTCAGCAGAATATCAGATTGATAAGTGTTGAAAAGGCACCAATTTTAAAACTACATATACTATACATATAGAAGAGTACACAAATAAAGTTTTTCACAAATTGAACATACTCATATCTCTAGCCCTCAGACGAAGATACCAGCCCTCAGACCAAGAAACCAGGCACTATGAACACCCCAGAAGCTGTCCTCTTGCCCCTATCTTAACACCATCTCCTTCTTCCTCCACAGAAATAACCACTATTCAGACTTCTAAAAACCATAGATTAATTTTGTCTATCTCTTATTTTATGTAAGTGCAATTATATATAATATACTCTTTTTTGCTCATTATATTGGGGTGTCGGAAAAATCATGACACATTTTTGCAACAAAAAAACCAAAAAATATGTCACGACTTTTCTGACAGCCCAATATTTGTTAGTGTACTGATTTCCTGAAGCCACTGTAACAAATCACCACAAAATTAGTGACTTAAAACAACACAGATTTATTTTCTTGCAGTCCTGGAGATCAAAAGTCCAAAGTCAGTTTTACTAGGCCAAAGTCAAGGTATAAAAGCATAAAAGCACAGTTGGTTCCTGAATCTGGAGGTTGTTTGAGTGGGATATCTGTTTTCTTGCCTTTTTTCAGCTTTCAGTGGCTGCTTTTATTCCTTGACTTGTGGCCCCTTTCTCCATGTTCAAAGCCTCTGCTTTCATAATTACATCACCTTCTCTTCTTGTATAGTCAAATCTTCCTCTACCACTACATTTGGAACCACCTGGATAATCCAAGGTAATCTGCCCATTTCAAGATCCTTAATTTAATCACTTCTGCAAAGTCTCTTTTGCCATATAATGTAACATTCACAGGTTTCAGAGTTTAGATCTTGGATCTCTTTGGAGCCCATTATTCAACCTTCCAGAGTGAGATTCATTTATATTGTGTCATGTATTTGTAGTTTGTTCATTCTCAGTGCTGAATAGTATTTCATTAATTTGTCCATTTTGTTATATCAAAAATTTATCCATTCTATTGATGGGTATTTGAGGAAGTTCTACTTCTGAGCTATGCTGAATAATGCTGTAGAGAACATTCTTACATGTGCCTTTTGGTGAATGTATATATGCATTTCTGTTGACTATATACCTGGGAGTGGAATTACTGGGTCATGGGCTGTGCATGTATTCAGTTTTAGTATATACTTGTCAGTTTTCCAAAATGTTTATAAGAAATCACCATTTTAATGTGTACTATACTAATGAGTTACCCTAATGGTCTAGTGCAGGAGCCGGCAAACTGCAGCTCTTTGGGTATATTCGGTCTCAAATGTTTGCCGACCCCTGGAAGAGCCAATCCTGTCCCTCACAACAATTTAAAAATTATTTGAGAGCCATAAATGTATTTTCACATAATCACCATTATGTGAATAATATCATTTAAAAATTTTATAAATGAAACTATGATAGTTTTATTTTCATTTTCAATTTTACTTCAGAGCCCGAGTTTGCTGACTCCTGGCGGCTGTTCCGTCTCAAAAGTTTGCCAACCCCTGGTCTAGTGGTTTGAGAATGTTAATGAGTTTCCCAAAATACCTAAATTATACCAAATGAGTTATACTTGCTATAGCAGGTCTGTTGTTATTTAATACCATACAAGAGGACAATAAAAGCAAAAGTATTTGGTCTTATTACTAGTAGTATTATGTACTTACTACATTATTGCTCCTCTGAGGAAATGCAAGTTTCAGGTTATCATAAATAGTATGTTGAGTTTATAAATAGTATGCTTAGTTGTGGTGGAAAATCCATGATTTAATTTTTTTTTTTTTTTAAGCTGAGCCATCCTGTCACCTTTTGGCAGCTCCGCGGCTGCTCAGCTCGGGCCGGGAATCAAACCGCTGTTGCTCAGAGTTCAAACTCTTGAGCGAGCTCTTAACCAACTGAGCCACTCGGCCAGCCCCTGATTTAAATTTTTGATTGAATTAAATTTTTAGTTGTTATAACCTTATTTAGGTACATGGATATTTCCTCATATCCAAATGGCCTCCATGAAGAATTATCTAATCCAGATAGCATAGGCACTGCTTTCTGCAGGCTTCACTTGGAATGTTTGTTTGTTTCTTTGTCTCTCTTCTGTTCCCAACAGCTTGGCCCCCTCTGTTTGTTAACCTTGCCCCATGGTACAGAATATTCCGGGTAGGATTGGCCAGGGTGAAGAGAATGGCAGTGTAAATAGCCTCCTCTCACCCATCCCCACTTGTCATCAAAGCATCACCCCTGATCCTTATCCTGTTTCCTCAAAATAAAAGACCTACTCTTAGCACATGTGCTTAGATTTGCCTTTTCCTGTAAAAGATGTAAATGAAAGAGAAAGTAGGGAAGCAAAGGAAGTGACTTAACTCATGATCAATTTCTACCAGAAATCAAGCAACTTAGTAAAACCTTAGAACAGGATATTCAACCTCAGCATTATTGGTGTTTTGGGCCAGATAATTCTTTGTTGTGCATTGTGTGAAGTTTAGTAGCATCCCTGGCTAATACCTACTAGATGCCAGTAGCACACACACATCTCCCCCCACCTTGAGACAACCAAAAAATGTCTCCAGATATTGCCAAAGGTCCTCCCTGAGAGGCAAAATCACCCCCTGTTGAGAACCATTGCCTTAGAACATCTAGGTTTTTACTTTTAGGATAGGGTACTGGGGGAAAGACTGAAACTGAACCTCTGTTGGAATCAACACATGGTCTCAGTGGAAAAAGACAAAAAGATTTGGAGACCCTAGGCCCAGGATTACAATATATTTTCCAGAAAGATCTTAAAGGTGGCTCTTGACTTTACATCTGCTGATCCCTTCACCACCTAAGACCCCAGTCCAGTGCTTAAAAATCTACTTGCTCACTGCTTTTCATCCAGAAATCCTAGCCACACCCAGTTTAAGTAATGTGTCATTACTATGTAAATCTTTTAAAAAGCATGCTATTTTTTAAAAATTGTTTTGTGGTTAAATATAAATATAGAATTAGGTACACTGATATTGTTGGTGCAGCCATCATCACTTTTTCCACAACTTTTTCATTATCCCAAACTGAAACACTATAACCCATTAAACAACTCCCCATTCTCCTCTCCCCGCTTCTCCTGGTATCACTATTCTATTTTCTATTTCTGTGAATTCTAGTCTAGGTACCTCATATAAGTGGAATCACATAGTATGTGTCCTTTTGCACCTGGCTTATTTCACTTAGCATAATGCTTTCAAGGTTCATCCATGTTGTAGCATCTATCAGAACTTCATTCCTTTTACGGCTGAATAATAGTCAATTATACTCATATGTATATGCCAAATTTTTTTATTTGTGTCAGTGAATGAGTTGCTTCCACCTTTCAGCTATTGTGAATAATGCTGCTATGAACCTAGGTGTGCAAATACCTTTTTGTTCCCTAACAAGCATGTATTTTTGAGTGTACAGATCTACATATTGAGAACTGAAATAAGGAAAGCAGTATAGTAGGAATGCACATATAAAAACAATTTATAATACATGATAAGTGTGACGTGAACAAAGGGGACCAATACTTTTGTACTAGATGTTTACGTATGTTACTTTCTCATCACCCCTGTGAGGTAAGTATTGACAGTCCAGGGTAGCAGACTGGTATGATAGGTATACCATTAAAGTAGACATACAAGATGGAATATTGTATTTTATTTAGAAACTTCATGTCTTATGCATAATGCAGTGAATTGTAAAATAATATAGTTTGTGTATATTTCCTTTCAATTTCATATTATCTAGTATGTTTCTTGTTTTTGTATGCTTCATATGAATAGCACTTGTTTGTCACTGACATAGAGTTAGTAGTGGAGATAGAAGGAGGAGATGTACCTGAAAAAAAATCTTGGTGGGATTGAGAGGTTTTTATTGGGGATTGGAGGTGGAGGGAGAGAGATAGTATCAGAAAGGATATATCTAGTGATGGAAGAAGAAACTAAGCTTGCTGTTAAGGCAGCTAAAGAGCCTCTGAATACTAGGCTTAAAAGTGTTTGGTTATGCAAGTATCTTCCAATAAGATTCCATTAACTTCATATTTATGTCAGTAGTGAACTACTAATTTTAGTAAAATTAGTGAACTACAGGATCCGTGTAGTAGGGTATAGTAGCATAGTTAAGGTAAGAAGAAACAACAATGATCATTATTTCAGAAACATTTATTTGGTGTATTACACGGAATAGGGTATGTTTTATAAGGCTAGTAGTGTTAGGTTTAGGTATGCAGTTGAAATATACATATAATAGTAGCCCCTGCAAAATTTGGTCTGTGTTTATTATAACCATTTTATAAATAAGGAAACAGGTTAAAAGAAATTAATACAGTAACCTCTAGCAATTGGAGGCATCAGAATTCGAACCTCAATCTAAGTGGTTCTAAGGACTATATGTTTCTTCCACTACATCATTCTACTTTGCCCTCAAAAGTACTCTTTATAACTTTAAGAGTATACCTTTATACCTTTATTTAAAGGTCATTTAAAAAAATTATAAGCCAGCCTGAGGATAGCAAAATTGTGTGCTATGGCAAGATAATTGTAGAGCTCACTCTAAGGAAGCAGAGGTAATGTCTGGTAATATTTTTAG